GGCCTCCCACCACCACCACCCCCTTCTCGTGCTCCCCTGACAAAAAAAAACTTACCCGCCCGGTGCTGACTCCTCTTCACTCTCATCCACTCAAAAGTTGTACTGTTTACGTCCATATCAGCTACGTTGCAGTCCGAGCTGGCAGAACTCCCCACGGCGACGTGAATCTCGGGGCCATTGTGGGAGTAGATTTGAATTTGTTCTGTAAGTGACCCAAAACGGGACTGTGGCGTCTCGTCGTTATTTGACGCAGAGTATCCGCGTCCTGGAGAGCTCTGCCCCTGCGCCCTGCACCGCCAGGGGACACGGGACGAGTGGGGGCAGGCCGGTGTCGAGAAGCCCTCGAGAGTCTCACACGGTGGAGGAGGAGGAGGAGGAGGAGGAGGGCTGTCCAAAGAGGTGCACAGAGTCAAACTGTTGGAGAGAGTTAAGTACCGGGGATGCGGTGTGTTAAATCCTGAGGCTACTTCAGCCTCCAGTTTCCCCTCCTCATCACGACTGCCGAGTTCAGGATGAGTCCTGCCTTCCAGGTCCCGGTTTATGACCTCTTTCGCTCGGCAGCAGCCCGTGAACAGAGGGCTACTCTCCCCTTCGGCCGTTAACTCTTGATAGGAAGTCATTATCACCTCTCCCCCTGCATAATCATTGGACGGGGGGTTCACTTCACGCCCGGCCTCTCGAGCATCCAGTAACGCATGGTCAGGCGGCTGGACGACCGTGGGGACATTCCTCAGAGGAGAAACAGCAGTCCCTGATTGATGGAGATGACGTGCCCTCCTGGTCTCGGCCAATAGCTGGACATCTCTGTCATCAGGAGAGAGGACAACACTGATTAAGCCGTGCGAGCAAGTTGAGAAACTCACTTCAGGTCACAACATTTTAGGGCAGGCCGTAGCAAAAAGAAAAAAAAAAAAACTACAAACATCCTTACAGGCAGCAATGAAGTACATCATCATCCTCACCAGAGTGAGGGCCTTGCACAGGCCGCTCACCTATGCAGACAGGTAGGCTGTGGTGTCAGACATGTTAGTGTGTCAAGAGAAATGTGCTTTAGGTCAAATTCTGGTATTTTGATTATTTTTCACGACAACAATGAAAACTTTTTTTTCCCCCAAAAAAGATAAATTAGCATAATCTAGACCTACATTGATGGAGCTAATGGATTATGCAAATCTGCAAAGGCTTCTTGAAAACCCCGAGGCCCTCTTTAGCAAAGGGCTTAGGTCATGTGAAAGGCACACTTAATGGGTTCAGAGGTCGTGACAGCTGGTATTTAGAAGTTCAGTGGCAGCAGATTTGTAATTAGCCTCGAACAAATACCAAAAAAAGAAAGAAAAAATGGCGGAGATCAAAAAGTTGTAACTGACAGAGAGGACATGTTTAGTAGCTCCTCGGCTCCCTCCGCCCGTGTTCATTTCTGTTTGCTACAGAGGGCCCAGAAACTGCTTCTTTTTAGCTCTGTGCAACGCATCTGTGTGTTTACCCAGGAATGAATCATCGTGTGATACTATTCACGCATGTGCAAACAAAGCTACGTGCTGCTATTTAAACTTGAGTGACAAAAACAAACAGAAAGTCACTCCCAAACTGCAAGCACAGGATGAGTTGGAGACAATAGATACAAGTCCAGGGCTGTTTAGTCCACACTGCCTTAAAAAAAAAATATGCCGACAATGCAACTGAGCTTTAGTGCCACAGTAGATACACAGGAACCCAGCCCAGGATTTTCACTTCCAACACAGAAGTGGAAATGTCAAGAAGCTCCAGAGCAGAAGCAGTTTTTCCTGAAGTCTGGTGACCCACTTTCAAACACACACAGTGTCGCTCAACGTGCTCGCATCCATTCTAAATAACAGGAATGAATACAGCTAATAATATTCCAATGTGCCAATATTAATGTCTGATCTCCAAACAGTTTAATTGTGTTGTTTTAAATTTAAAAGTAAAGAGATGGCATCATGTGTTCAAGAAAACTTGTTTTATTTTCTCCGAACTTCAGCCATGTTTCGTGTGATTGACTGATGCACAAAAGATCACTGAAGACGAGCAATGGTGCTGAAATTATGTTACATTTAAATTAAATTAAATTATTTAGAATTCCTTGGAATTATTTATTTGTCCTGCCCCTGTATAATATAATAATTAATATTAATATTTAATACGTTGATTAAATATGCAGGCGGATTTTCGTTATTATTATTATTATTATTATTATATTTATTTTCAGATAACTGTACGAAACTACCACCCATCACGTTTGATAAAAACCTGAACTTAAAACAACTATCTGTTACTGTTCTCATCGTTTTATTTGAACAATATTTCCTATGTCTTTTAAGTCTGCAGTAATTACAAAATAATTCAGCGTAATGAACAACTTCTAACTGCATTCTTACAACACAGAAATATGGTCCCAGCTGTGGGAGTTAATGGGATTCTACAGGCAGCGATGTGCTGAATGACTGAGTGCAATATATCCCTTCTCTCCATGCATTTGCAGGGTGCACTGATCCATCTTCATGTCAGCTCGGAGGTTACTCAGGGTTCACGCGCTAGCTTGTTTCTCTCCTCCACACTCAATAAATAAATCTCTGCAGCTTTCTGTTTACCGCCTGAATATAAATTTGTTTGCAGTCGATCGAAGACCTGTGCGGAGGTATTAGAAATTGTATTTCTGTAATGGCTTTCAGCAGAGGGAGGGAGGGAGGGGGAGGAGGTTGCAGAGAGGAGAAAAAAAGAAGAAGAAGAAAAAGAAGAAGAAGAGGAAAAACAGGTGTGAGCAATCTCTGCTCTCCTCATATGCAAACGAATTTTTAAAAATGCAGCAGCCTCAGCCTATTACAGCCTTCAGACATATTCAAATTACATTTAAAACCAAGTAACCTTTTTATCTTGTAGGACAAAAACAGCAATCCATGTTTGTGCCATATGTTTGATTAGCATATTTGAAGTGTTGTTCCACATCGCTGCCCAGCACCTTTTATGCAACAGAAGTTATATTATCGCATTAAACAGAAAAAACACACAAGTGATCTTTAGCTGAGGCTCCTTCCTCTGGACAGCTTGTTCCCCCCTAAACCACAAATTCTGAATAAGGTGGCTTCAGACATAAGAGAGAGAATAATCTCACAATTTTGGTGAAATGGATTCTACAAATTTGAATTTTATTTACCTCAAACCAAATTCTGCACCCCACATAGAGCAGAAAAACAAATATGTTGCTCCACACCCCCCCCAAAAAAATACTCTTAAAACTCAGTTCAGGCATTTCCCATTATGATCACTATTGTTACTGTTGTTTTGACTGGAGGTGAGGCAAACATGGCAGCACTTGGGTGGCTGTGTCAGGAGGCAGGGAAAGAGGGAAAGAATATTGACTGATGCTAATTTGTTTTGCGTCCATGCTCTGATGTGTGTCAATAGGCAGTCGAGGGCCTGGGATCAGCGCTGTCCGTGCTCGGATTACCTCCGTGGTTTGAATTGAACTCTCATCCTGCTGCTTGTGACATGACGCTACGGCGGCTGTTGACACCAGACCCTTGTCTAACCCTCCAACATTGTCAAGCCTCATTATACATCAGCTCTTGACCCTCACAAGACTGGAAATTAACCAGTGCTGACAGACGACTGTCACCACCGGCCAGGGAGGTCACTGCCGTTAATGCAGTTCCAGGACAGGAAGATGACAGCCATCTATGCCATGTTTATGGAGCCCAGGCCCATCAACGTGGGATCATGATAGAGCTGTAATGTGGAGAGGGACAAAGAGAAATAAAGTAAGAGAAAAGGAAATAAAGGGTCAGAGCAGAGACACAGACACAGATATTCAAGTGTGGCACATTGACCGGTTGAAAGATGGCTATCTATATGATTGATAGAGCATGTCTGTGTTTTTCAAGTATTGACGTTTTTGAAAAATAGTGATGTCAGAAGTAAGGTTTAGCTTAGTGTATACCCAGCCCACACACAATCCAGGGAATACCTCTTAAAAAAAAAAAAAAAACATCCACTCACAGTGTGAAAGTCTAATAATTGTCCTCGCTTCATTGTTGAATGGTATGAAATCTGCCATAGTACATGAACCATAATCATAAATCCAATGCAACTACTGTGCAAATGGCCAGGGACATTACAGATAACTGCATTCTGCACAGGCTCAACAGTGTGACAATGAAGCAATACCTTGCTAATACCAGGACTTTTCAACAATAGCCTGTAGTATGTACTGCAGCGCTTCACAGCTTCAGTGAGCCAAGAGGCTTCGAGTCGGCAGAATCCCAAACATCATGACAACAAGCCATCAGTCATCTTCCCCCCAAGCTGCTGTGCACACTTGTGTGTTTCCGGAGTTCTTACTGTGGGAAATGAGCAGGGTTAAACATGAAACAGGAGGAAATGTTCATCATTGCAGCACAGTCTGCATTATTCCCCCTCATACGGCATTGTTTTCGCTGCAGGGAAAGAGAAGGAGTGGTTTTTAATTTTTTTTTTGCTTAAACATCCCCTGCTTGTTCACAATGCAGATCAGTACTCTACTGTGCATGCTAATCATGGTTAATAGCAAAATGCTGATAGAAAAATGACACTGTATTAAGAAAGCACTAATCTTTTGTTCAGGTTCAGGAAGGATTATTCCTGCAGTCAAAAAAGGAAAAATGTCATCCATGGTGAAGTTTGAAAGTTAAAAGTGTAGATAATCAAGGTATTGGATAATTACAACATCTATATATTAGTTTAATGTCATTTATTTCCAATTAAGTATCTTTAATTATCTTTTTTCTCACTGTCTGATATTACCATATTATCTGTGTCAGCTCGTTCCTGTTCTCTATTGAAGCTATATGATGTGAAAAATTCAAACCATCGGCTCCATGAATTTTATAGCTGCATATTCCATCAAATGGAAATATTCTAGATGTCTTGTGCGTCATTTTATACGCATTTCCCCAAATTCAGGCTGACATATTTTGTATCTTTGGAAACTTTGGTCTCTCTAGTAGAATTCAAAATAAAGTTAACTGGCTTAGATCAACGTGTGGCTGCACAGCAGCAGAGTTATTGCTGTTTCAGAAATGTTTAGTTTTAACAAATGAGGTTCAACAAGGATTATTCATGCAGTCAATAAAATACAAATGTGAATCCTGTGTTCCAGTTTTAACCCTTTGGCATTTTTTCCTTATTGTTTGGGGTCCCAGACACATAAACAGAACCAACAATTTGCTAAACTAACTAAATGTTGTTTTCTTTGAATACTTTTTGGATTGTCTCCTGAAACACAATATGTAGAAAAGTATTGAAGTGGTTCCAGTGACCACTAACTGGGCTTGCACAAGGAAATATGGAAATCACCATGAATTGTTAGATATATTTTATGTGTTATTAGCTATGCATGAATAAAAAGATTGGTTTGCAGTAAAAGACATATTGTTACAACAAACAACTCATACAATAGACAAACATGATACAAAATGATACATTATAAATAAAAAATGATACGTATGTTATCCGACATTATGATACTACTAATGTTTTGAGTCAATTAGACCCCAGAGACTTACTTAAGATTTGTGATGCTGTCAACACTAATCACAGATCTAGAGCTTTACAGATACTATTAATTAGTCATATTTTACTTGTGGGTGAGACAACAAACAACTCTGACTTCTGAAATATGCCAACAGTTCAAAACCATGTTTATTAGCAATTATCATAAAATTAGGAAAGTCATGAGATATCAAGCACATAAAACAATGATAATTCTGTTTTTTGAGCCGTTACAGTGGACCAAACAACAGCATGGGCTGGATATTCCATTGTATATTTCCAATATATTTCATTTTGCTGATCTTATTATCTTTATGTCCTTTGTTGCCTGTGAGATTTTTCCACACAACCAAAAGAAAGTGTGTATTGATTAGATTCGGTGTGATAAAGCCATTGGGTGTTAAATACTTCTTGAGTGATCAATAATGGTCAACATGTGACATTTAGCTAGGTGGCTGTTGTGATTACGAGTTCATTCATTTAACTGGTGCTCTTCAGGGGGAAAAGTGAGCTCCAGCAGGTGACTCTCTCACTGCGCACGGTGCCGCTCACCACAGCTGAGACAGTTTCATCACCAACTTACCTTTTTATTGTCACCGATCATCCTTAACTGGGAAGCATTTAAAATGTCATTGATCTTGATAATGCCGTGCCGTAATATGACAGTAACAGTTGTATGAGATTCAGGAAGTCAAATTTCCAAGATTGATGAGTCGTAGCAGTTGAGTTATAATCCATCCACCTGAGTAATGCTCAGGCTCTGTTCCACATGAAGGAGCAGACAAATAAATAAAACCCATAAAGGTGACACAGGAAATTGATACTTAACAATCATCTTGAGCAACAAGCACCTGGAGAGACTGGTGGGCAGCAGTTACTACTGTGGAGGGAAAAGGCTGAGAAGGTTAATAGGTCATAAAAAGAACAAAACCTCCTAAAGGCCAGGCATAAAAGTTCAGGATTTTGCTCAACAATGGACCAAAGTATTGCATGTGACAGTCACACTATGGGAAGGTTTTACTTCTATTATTTCCATCACATAAAACATCCAAATTTCAAACTCAATGGTTTTAAAGAAAAACTGAAAACGAGTCCCAACAATCTTTAATACTGCGTTCACCCCAGTTATTTTGTAAGATGTGCAACATCTGACCCATTAGGTTGAGTCAAAACTGTGAGACAAACACCCAAACCCAGGATTTATTCAACTCACAACTGTCTGTGATGCAGCACACGTGCACATTGGTCTCTGTTGTTGTCATAAACTTGGCCAAGTTACTGTACTACTGTACTGTGCTACTGTAGAAATAAGTTATGGTAAGTGTTTTTATCCTACAGTGTGTCATGTTTTAACTTTGTTGCATTTCTAACTCTCAGAACACAGTGAGGTTCAGATCAATGTAAGCTCAAGTCCAGGGATAGACATGGTGGCAAGGGGATGCAACAGCCACCCCTAGAAATGCCTTGCCACCCTAGTTTGATGTCAAATGCTATAAAATTTAACACATTAATTTAGATTAATTATTAAAATAACATATTAAAAAACTGAAATTAACATATATAACTTAATGATCTGAGAAAAAAAGACAATTATTTAAAACATGTCTGAAGATTTGGAAATAGAAGCATTTATTTATTTATAATGCTACCTTTAGATATTTATATTCAATGCTTTACTGATGTGCTGCAATATTGTAACCTAATGTTTTTTAGTTCATTTGGGAGCTTTTCCAAATTTTCTGTAAATTTCACTAGATCCAGCCTGCAATCATGGCACTCTTCTCCACTGCTTTATTCACCAAAATGTTCTTTTTCAGAGCAGTGTCTGAGATTTTTTCATGGTTTTCTTATGTACAGTCTATTGATCAGTCATGTGACCTATGAATCACCATCACCAAGTATCCAAGACACACCAGATATGGTCATTTACAAGATATTATAAAAGACATGAATTACAAAACAATGTTTTACCAACCTCTCAAAATATTATTTAGCAAACATATTCCATGGTTGAAAGGGTTGAATTTCCAACTTTTGACATATGCTGCTTTGTATTAAAAATGGAGATTCAACCTTTTTAGTCAAAACGTGTATAAACGATGATGCTCTGGAAAAGAGTTATGTGACTTGAGTGTGGTTTCATGGTATTTGTACTGTATATTTTATATTTATGCCTTTGTATGTATTGTACATAAACATCATTTTGCAAGTAGCTATGTTATGTCAACACAGCTTCATGACTGAATCAACCCAAATTGAATCTCAACAGTGACTACAAGATATAGTAAACACAGTGATGGAAGAAGCACTGAGATCATTTACTCAAGTGATCAAAATACTATGTTACAAGCATAAGTCCTGCAGTAAAAACTTCAAAGTATAATGATTAAAGTATCATGCAGAATGACCCATTGCAGAACAATGTAAATTGGAATATTGGTTTATAATCTATAATTTGATTAATGCACGTACTGGCTATAGACAGGGCCCTTCATTTTGTTTGCAGCCACTGTAGTTTCTCCTACAGGCTTGGAAGGTGAGCTATATTTAAATGGTTGCAATCTGTAACATTACTGCTAGATGCCACTGAATCCGACACACTGGTCCTTTAATGAATCAATAAATTGTAAATAAATAGATGTCAAACCAAGGCCACAGTATGGAAAGAGTTTTTTGTTCTTTTGGAGTGTGTTTATCCCAGTTTATACAATTTTGTGAAGTGTGTCAGTAACTGTCATCAGTTAGTGGTGTAAATAAGTACATGCATAGATTGTGGTGTAAGATGTACAAATAAAAACAGCTGATGAAGACAAAAGCTAAACAAACCTGAAAGTACTGTATAATTGGTGAGATAAATGGCTCCTATAGATGATTTTGGGGGTTTAGGAGTTTTTGTTTTAGTTCACCTACCAACCAGGCACACAATAAACAGGCACTTGCCAATAAGAGCAGGGGCTGTCACATAGACATTTATTATTATTATTATTTATTTCCTCTAATGGTGATCCCCATATAATGAACAGAATTACCACATCAGAACATAAGACTCCAGCAGACACCAGCAGCTTACTGTGATGGTAATATGATGAGCTTCAGGCTTTAGGTTTGTCGAGTGCACAGGCAAATGCCTTGTAAGATACTTAAAGCAGCATGTCTTTGTTAAGGACACAGCAGTTTTGTTTTCATGGCAGCTTAAGGAAAGTCTTGATGCATAGAGCATTTTTCAAGTCTAACCCCAAAATCAGTTTCACAACAGCTGCAAATGGGACAGTGGTACATCAGTCACTGTAAAGGACATAACGCAAAAATGTTCAAATTAATGATGGACCGTAACCAAAGCTGGTTTCATGGCATCACGGCTGGCATCATTTATCACTTCAAAGATCCACTTAATGCATCGCTCCAGTCTGATCAAAGCCCAGAATTTAAAAAAACATTGAAGGATTTTTGGCTTTGCAGATCTTCCCTCTGAAAACAGATGTCATCATGAGGGGGGTCAAGTGAGCAAAAAGGAAATAATGACTTTAGTTTCTAACTAGGAGTGAGAACAACTGGCTAACTTAATGTTGTAATGTTCTCCCTTGCAGTGGGGCCCTTGGGGGGGGGGCTTTCCTTGACCCCATCTACAGAATTACTGCACTCCAGTGTGTGGATCCTCCTGGCTTTTAGCGTCTGGAGGGAGAATGTGGTGAGGAACCAGAGGTAAAGCTCCTATTGAGGCTCAGCACCATTAACACCATAAATCACCCGGCATATGCAAGAATCTCAGGAATCCAACACTGTCTGCTTCTTCTTCTTCCCAATCCCCCCTCTTTCTGTCTCTTTGCAGGCGAACATATTTGAAGGGGAGAACTTTTTCCTGCTTCATCTCTTTGTCTCTGTCTTGCTTTTATTACTTTTCTCTTAAATTACCCAGCTGTCACCACCTCTTTGATACTGATGTGGTGTAGACCTTTTTATTTTATTCAAAAATTTCCACAGAGTTATAGCTGCTATACAGCTCCCCTGACACCTACTAAGACCTGCTGAAAATGGTGTCAAATATTTACCAAATGACAGCTGATCCACGGACTGATTAGCTAATAAATTAGGAGCAGGAAGTCATTCTATCCAGGACCACTAGGGGATCAGCTTCCTCATTACTTCCCTCATTTCATAGCTGTCAGTAGTCCTCTGTGACAGCTCATTTACAGTAAGGCCGCTGATATAAAACTGTCAGCGTGTCCAGAAATTGTGTGCAGTTTTGTTAGGAATATTGATACTGCGGCTCACATTATCAAGTGTATGAGGAGGTTCACTCCTTCATCATGAAAGTTGTTGTCTATCTTTGTTGAGACCCAAGAGAAACTGCGACCCACTTCTGTCAAATCAACGCATAATGCCCCCGTGTGCGGAATTTAAATTTTGAAATCAAAAATAGCAAGAGGAAAATAATGTTTCCATGACGTCAATTACATTAGAGAATCCACATGTCACAAAGGCACAGGGGATGCTGTTACAAAAAACAAAGTGTCCTCATTGTTTTTTAAGATAATATGTTGTCATTAGTGATTGAACCTCATTGGTCTGTTGTGGCCTATGGGCTGCTGGAAGGGCTTCTAAGCTACACAGCTAACATGCCCCCTGAGACGGAGGCGAGCCCCAACTTGCAGCACTACAATTTGGCTATTGAAAAGGCAAGGGTTGGGAAGGAGGAGGCAAGAGATCTTGTCATGGTGCCCAGTGGGTTCAGAGCTTGTGGTTGGAGTGCTGGAAAGACTGCCTTGTCTCAGTGATTAATGGTGGGGAACTCGGAGGCTGGAGCGAGGGAGAGGCTCATGTGGCAGGATTGTGCAACTTGAATGCACAATACTGTAGAGTTTACAATGAATCTAAAGCATGCCTTAATTTGATTACAGAATCTTTCTCATTTTTTCCCATTTGGGATCTAATCCAGGAACCCTTAATCATGAAATATCACTGGAAAAAATTTAATTCTAATCAGCGATGAATAGGGTAAACATTGCACAAGAGTTACAGTTTTCCCAAATGCATTTATTAAGCATGTACAGTATATGACATCTCAATTAATCAAGAACAGTATCAAAGACTCACTGTATCCTTTAATGGCTTTAACAAAAATATAACATCATTCAATATGAACATTATTCTGCCCATTTCACAGTTAAAACATTTTACACAAATGACCTGCTATTTAAAGTACACAATGAAAAAGAGGCCTTAGAAAATATGACAACCACTTAGCTATTATATGACAACAGAGGGAAATAGAAAATTCAGTCATGGTATGATTCCCACATGCAGTAAACATGCAACAACAATACAAATGCAACAGCCACAAAATTACAGCAAAACAATGTGTAATTATTAATTGCTCAAATGTCTTGTGCATGCTGTGTAAGTACAATGAGCAGCAAGTTTAAAGACTTGTAGTCTTCAGTCACCGTGCCTGAGAAACATAAATGATATCACTGTAGCTCTCCTTTAATTAAGATATGTTCACATAGTTTAATTAAAATGTTTCATGAGTGGTGAACAGGGTGTGTTCAGGGGATTTCAACACAGGGATGCTAATCAGATATCCTCTAGTCTTTCATAAGTAAGTGAAAGTGGATGTATCATTGAGATTTTGATGAGCACAGGAGGGGTGGCCATTATGGGGCCCTAGGGCCAGTTTGAAATGCCAGCATGGTGATGACTATCTATGCCCGTACAGGAGGGCAGTGGGCCATTTGCAACAGATGGAAGTACGCAGCTCAGATGGGGCAGGTCTGCAGGGTGAATACACTGACCACTGCTGGCGTCACTGTGACAGCCAAAGACAGAGGACGACATAGGGGCATAATCCATGAAGTGCATCTCTGAGGAAGAAGAAGCTCTGACGACACATGCACCTGGAAACCTCAGAAGGTCCTCACATGAGCTCGAGCTCGGGGAGGGGTTGCAGGGAGACCACCTGGACGAACCAGCCAACTTTCCATATTTTTGCTCTTTTTTGTGCCTCATCCTGCGGTTCTGAAACCAGATCTTGACCTGCCGATCGGTGAGCTTCAGCCCGGCAGCCATCTCCAGCCTCCGGGGACGACACAGGTAAGGGCTGAAGTGGAACTCCTTCTCCAGCTCCAGCAGCTGGCTGTTGGTGAAGGCCGTTCTCTCCCTCCTGACACGGAGTCTTCCTTTGCCTGACAGACCTGCCGCTACACCACTGCTGACTGATGCAGGAGGGAGCACATAAAGATGGTTGTTAAAAGCAAGTGCCACATATCTAACAAGTCTATCCTGAAATGTATAACCTCCACAAAAGGACTTCAAGTGCCAGTAAGGCCCATGTTAATCCTCTGGCAGTCAACCCGGGACAAAGTAGGGCCCTCAGCTCTTCCTATGTATTCAGTCATGCTTGAGACACTATACAAGACTGGCTGTCTACTGTGTCATGTGTTCAGGGAAAGTTACCTCCCGAAGAAACAGTCTGGGGGAAACATCTGACGCCACTATGGCTGCCTGACAGGCCACATTAATCACAGCTACACACGGAAGCAGACCTGTCAAATCCCCATCTCAGTCACTTAAAAGGTACCTTGGGACCACCACTGAAAATAACCACCATTAGAGATTCTATTTGACATGTATATGAGCGATACAAGGGATCCGGTTGATAACAATATAACATGCAGGGGTTAATGGATACTTAATAAGGCCTACAGTGACCTTAGAGGGATAACTGCACTTAACAGTAATGGGAGACTGTAGCTTCCTTCTTATTGCTAGTTTGTTTATGTCAAGACTAGTTATCTCTTCCTGTGAAAAATAACAAGCATTATTAGAATTTAAATAATTAATGAACATGTATGTTATATTTACTTCAGATTGTTATTAACCTACTCACACAATGTGATTTTACACTCAAAATAAACTTACACACTTACCTATTAGGACTGATGTTATAATCAACTGACTGACTGTATTTATTTAATGATTAAGATAAGAAACAAAATGATAAAGTGATGATATTTATATCCTCAGTGGCAAAAGAGCAGCAAACAAGAAGTTTTTGTGCGGCCTTCTCACTGCAGCTTTTGTGTTTTGAATATGACATTGCCTGCAGGACTGGAAAAACAAGACACCGACATTTGTTTAACTGTGCTGCAACATTAACACTCATTCATAGACTAACTTAACTAGAGAAGAAAGAGCCTTCACATCTGATGAATGGACTTTTGTTCATGATAAACGATGCAGGTAACACATTTGACAAGTGAGACTTTTGCTTGCTCTGTTTGTAAATTTGTAAATTTGACTCTGGGGATGACTCGCTGCAGCATATACATTCAGTGTCTTCATGCAACGAAAGGTCTAACTGATATCAGTGTTGGAGTCAAACTTTCAATGCACAAATGAGGGAGATGCTCATTAATTTGGATGTATGGATTCACCCCGTTAGAGCACTTAATGAAGACTGTGTCAACAGTATTTTTGCACACTCTGTTATAGCTTTAAAATATAAAAGATAATAAACAAAATCAGAGTTACCAGATTGTTCAGAGTCAGTTGTCCGATTCATCCAGGGAAACATTACTCCTGAGCGGCAGATGGTGAGTAGATTGCAGCTCCTGCTCTTGATGTCCAGCTTGCCCTTGGCATGGCAGTGAACCAGAGGTTCCAGTGGGCACTGAAACTGTTCACCTGGGTTCAACCTGGAACTGACAGGAGCAAAGGAGGTCATGTGTTGCTGATCAAGTTCTGCTTCTTGGCCTCCTCCACCTCCTCCTCCTTCATTGTACCCAGCGCTTAGTTTTGGCACTTGTCCAGAGCTCACAGCAAAACTGTTGCCATGCAGCTGCAGTGGGAGGGTAGACTGTTGGGGGTCCATGGACCCAGCTCATCAAACTGTCTCAAATAAAACCAAGAATCCCTCAACAGTACTAAAGACTATGACTTCTGTCTGTCTAATATCCGATCACAATTAACCTGAATGTATAAAGGCATGCAGGGAAGAGCACTTGGAGTAACCATGTGGAGCATTTGAATAATATTTACCAGAAGGGTGCCGTAGTCACGTGTGGTGGTCCTCCACCAATGACAGAGCTCTGGAGTTGCAAAGTAATCCGCTGGCAACTTGGGGCGCCCGAAGAAGCTTCTGCGATATTTCTTCAGACAACATTTCTATGAGCAGCCTGCGTTTCTTTACCTAGGGATGAAAAAAAACATATAACGGAATATGAGTAGACGCCAACAACTGTGTAACCAGTGTGAGAGAAAGAGGGGAGATGTGTTTATACGGTGAGGGGGGAAAAATGGCAGAGAGGGGGGAGACAGAGAGAGATTACAATGTGTGGTGAGGAGGGACGTCTCATTAGAAACTGAAGGGTTCAATTCTTGTAATATTGTAAAATCTTTTGACAGGACGCGTTTATTAGAAGGAGCCGTCGCTTGCAGCTGTACATCCTGAACTTTTTGTGGTAGGTTTTTTTTTAATTAGACACAACGCGAGGAGTTCCTGCTACAGTAGGCTATGTCTATGAGCTGGAATAATATCCTGGATAATAGCTGGATAATAACGGGTTAGCGACCACAACTCATTATTTTTGCTGAGGCTTTTTTTCTGTGCGTAAAATGCTTGAAAATAAATTGTGTTCCTGGGTATTTTTTCCCAATTAAACATAATGATAAATATTATTTATTCCCGCATTTCCATGCTATTAGCTGCTCTATCTATGAACATCCTGCAATAAGGCTGCTTTCTGCCTGTAAAAGAAATTATTCCGATTATACTGGATAACTTAGTTTGCAACTAATTTAACTGCCCATCATAAATCGGCGGGCTTTCCTTTAAATAACAGCATATGCTTATAACTGTCGGAGTGGAAGTGTAGCTTTGGCTTAATAGGATTCACTGGGAGTGGTCAAACAAAGGCTTGACAGTCATTGCCACACAAAGACAAAGGAGGCAATCATTAGAGATTTTTTTTCTATAGGACGATTCAACGCATTTGCATTAATCAGGCATCACTGTACAGTATCAAGTGTTCCTGTCTGTGGCTCTGTGAGGCAACAGTCAAACACTGTGGACACTTTTGATGGTAAACATCCCGCTTGCTGCACGGCTGCATAGACAAAGAGTAGGGGGAGATGTTCAGCAGAGCCCTTATTTATGTGCGCCAGTTTGTAGTTACAATGAAGAGCACACAAGACATTAAGAAGTTAGAAAAATTGCTATGAAGGTGCAAAGCACTTAAATAAATATATGAATTTTGCAACTTCATTTAAAACCCATATAATAAATATTTTTTGGGGAAATTATTTTAAAAGCTAAAAGCTCCATCAAGTGTGGCCTAACTGAGTTACACTTTGAAAAAAAATCTCATAAAACACGATTGCTTAATTTCAACAATGCACAAATGTATGCAAAGTGGATAAATTACTAGAATAATGAAGCTATCACAAAATTGTAAAATAGTGCACCTAAAGTATCTTCCCAAACGAGAGGGTTTTTGCAGGCTATGATATTAGCATATTCTGTGCCAGTATCAATCTTAGTTGAATCAGGCTTTAGATATAAGTTCTTTCTGGTGTTTCACTACAACAAAGCTGTCGAGAAAACCCTCTTTAGATGTCTCTCAGCGGTGATGGATTATGCACTCAGGGTTGCATAGCTTGGAAGAAGAGGAGCCTTCCCCCTTTTCCGCCTCACCCCTGCTGCCACCATCACTGAGGCTTCACCTGAACCTCCAGAGTGGAGTCACGTCCTTGGATTTTTATTTTAAACAAATGAAATATTTTAGTTGTGAATTCAGTTGAGTTCAGATCAAGGACACAATACAACTACTATCGCCTCCATACACTATGGCGTATTGGTAATCCGCATCAAAATGACTGTTAAATTATGTTATTATTGATCATAGTTCAATTTTAAACTAGTGTAAAAATGCTAAACGTTTAGCTAAGAGATCTGATTTTAATTAGGAAGTAATGCTGACTGTGACCAGGTTTAATCCTTTCAGCCTGTCCATTAAAATGGCAGATATTCTCAGTATAGTCTGAGTGTAGGCCAACAGAGCAAAATGAATAATACAAAATCGACTTTACCTCCTTGTATCTGCTTTTATTTCAAAATCGAACTATTGTTATTATTATTATTATTATTATTATTATTATTATTATTATTATTATTATTAACTGGAGAATTAGGCAGTATCCATCAGCACTGACTGAAATGGGGGAAAGTAATTAAATTCGTTTTGTTTTCCTTGCCTCACACCCTTGAACACACTCTCTGAATTGGAGATAGAATCTATGATATACTAGCTCAGCAAGACCATAATTTAGCTCCTCCGCGCCTCCACCACAATTCTCCGTGAACTCTGTTTGAACCGCCTCAGTGGCAATAAATCATTTTTCTCTCTCACACAAAAGCGCGCCGGTCGCTCTGGGTGTCAACCCTTTTACAATTCCTCCTTACCTTCTGCGCTCTCTCGCCTGCTGACACAAACAACCAAGGAAATCGTCGATAAACTTTTATTTTTCATACCAATAACTTACAGAGAAAACGGTACCGGGGAACGGGAAATATCTGCAACCGCGCACACGCAGCGGGGAAATCTGCAGAATGCACCACAATTCTTATATTTTTATCTTCTTTTTCCATAAATTATATATTCCTTTACACTAAAAAAACACAAAACATAATTGGTTTTCAGAGCTCAACGAATGCACGGATCAGTTAATGTATTTCCAGGGGACAGAGCTGGGCAGATAAGAGGAGACTGAGAGAGAGAGCTGGGGAGAAGACGTTAATGGGCAGAGGATGCTGTCGGTTAAAACGGTGCATACAAATGGCGCTGTCTTGGCAGAGCAAGGAGAAGATTTATGGGCCCGGTGCCCTATATTGCTGTAAACAATGCAGAGTGAAATGAAAGGACTAGAGTTTGCAGACTGCACTTCATAAGTGAGGAAAAGACACACATTGTCAATTTCCCAAACAAGTCCCGACTTTTGCATAAGCATGTGCATTAACATAGAGTATTAATTTGGGCCTGCTTATAGTACAAACCACTGTAAATCCTGGCCTGTCTGTGGAGAGTGCAGACAAAGATAAATCCTGCAGCTCTGAGCCACTGACTAAATGTACATTTTGGGAATAACTTGGTTTTGTTTTTTTACTCAGGAGAAATATGTTTTTCAGATGTCTATAATCTTAAAATAAAATAATGCTGCAGCAAAAAATGTTTTTTTTATGTTTTTCCTGTGAAAGCAGATCTTGTATCTGTATCTTGTATACATATTGACTATTAAAGACCTAATATTGTTTGTCAGCTGATAATAGTCGAAAATATAGGCCGTTTTATTACAAAAAAATAGAAACCTTAACATAATAGTAAAACATGAATATGTTATATTTATAGCATCATTTCATCAGATGACCAGTCAATCAATCTGGGGATGATAGAAGGTCTCAACCCTGTGTTTTAAAATTGTGACCCTTTTGTTTAGATTATGTATGTTACCTTTAACATTTAATTATCTGTTGCATCTTATATGTGGCTGACGTGTAAAAATGGAGTCCCTAATGCTGCAGCAGCTGTCCTCAGATAGCTCAGACAATGAGACAACTGCAGTGGAAATGCAACTGGTGGCCACACAAATACACCCGAGAATCATTTTCAGGGAACAAATCCAATAAAAAAGCGCGTTTTCACTTAACCTATACATAATTGTGGATCTATAGTCTCAGGATCCCATATTCAGATCACTTTTGCTAATGAAAAGTGAATAACATAATCATAACTCAATCTAGCGACTGTCTGGGCCCCCAGTGACACCTTGAACTGGGGGGAAATGACTCTAATTTCTAAGGTCCTCAACGATGCAGCAAATAGGCTAATGAAAAATTTCCCAGCGAGGCGTTATGATGACATAAAGTATTACTGGCAAGTTTACCCAGGCCATCATCTCCAGTGTGATGTGAGGCTGAAGTCTATCAGACTGTTGATCCAAGCTGCTTTGTCGTCCCCTGTTTGCCAGCACTGTCAGTATATCACTTTAACATGTCTGATGGAGTTTTAAAATCTAGTTTTATGTAAATTCATTTAACTCTCCCTCTATCACACATACAGAGAAAGAGAGAGAGAGAGAGAGACACACAAAAAATGAGGAAAAAAAGAAAGAAAAGACATGGTGCATCTGCTCCCTAGAGTGAACGGATGGGAGAGAGATTTACGGATTTATGACACACCCACTGCTGGTCAATGCGAGAGAGCCTCTCTGTCCCTGGAAAATAGCAGCGTGACCCCTGTTTCAACTCTCAGCCTTTATGCAACTGCCATGGCTGCCGTTTAAACACTACACCATAACAATACACCGGCCCCGGACCTTTCTTTGCAAACCAAAGTGGTTGAAGAAGACACTCACCTGAGACGAGTGAAACAAAAAAAAAGTTTTTACGTAACCCGGTGAAGACAATAAAAAAAGCAGGTAATAAACCACGCCAGCGCCAGAACAGCTGGTCATTTTTGTTTCCAGTTTGTTCTTGTTCAAATATTTCGATGGCTGTTTGTGTAAAGTTTTTATATCTTGCAAGAGAGAGAGAGAGAGGGAGAGAGACTCCTCGCCTGAGGTGCTCATAAATCACAGGGAGCCTGCAGCGGTGCAATGTGAGCTGAAAATCATGCGTGTGATTCAACAGTCTCAAGTCAGAAAAAGAAACCAGTTAGGGGCTGAGTAAGTGTTGAGGAATTTAAACACTGAACTTCAAACACATAAAATACACCTTATTCCTGCAAGGTGCTGGGGTTAAGATTAACTAACAACCGCTCAAAGTTATTCTACAGCTTCAGCTGGGAGCAAAGGGCTGCTTAAGGATGAGAATTAAAATCAAAAATGTATTTGAAACTTTAAGAATGGCTCTAATTCATAAAACAAGACAACATATGAAGTTATTAGTCACGGATATGTTCTCTTATTTTATTTATGTTGATCTTCTGACAGGTAAGACCACTGAACTTAACTTTGAAGTTAATAGTTTTAAGGAATTATTTGCTTGCTTAGATGATGTGAGAAGTAAACGTGTAAAAGTACGGGACTAGCGCTTTCTATCCTTGAATATTATGATGATAAATATCTGTGTAAATATTAAGAAAAGTTTCCGTTGTGTGGAGTACAAGTCTGTGCGCATTAACCCCAAAGTTAAATAACAAAAAAGACAAGACTGATTTATGACTGACAAACGACAGGAGCTTTCTGTTTAAATAATTATTTCAAATCACACATTCTGTTTATTCTCATAATGAATCTAACAAGACCTTATATGGGCGTATTAATTAAATCTTTGGTAAAGCTAAATCAACAAAAAGTCAAAAAAGAAAATATCTCCAAATTATGCCTCGTGTACTCTACTTTACACAAATCTTCAATTACAAGAGCTCAAACAAAAAGCGAACATCCAGCCATTGTTCAGAGTGTAACTTGAGCTACACCTGTAGCCCGTAAGACAGGAGGCTGAATGATCGCTCACACATCACCGAGATTAGCTGTTTGGTTTTCACTGGCAGCTGTTTATCTTGGAAGGCATGCTGTCGAATATTTTTCCATCAGCGCTGAATATTTGGTCCTGGTAACACACACGAGAGACCAAACGTGTTTCTCAAATGAGAATATTATAATATAACTTCAAAGCTGCTTGCAACCAGGACACTGAGATATCCCAAATAAGCAGACAACTAAGAAATGTATCAGAAATGAATCAGACATATCTATGCAACGAACCTCACAAAACAGCTCTCATTTAGTGTTTTTGTTACAATCAGTATGATTTCTGACATTCTGTCTCATATCAGAAAAAATTGCATTGGGATTAAAAAGTTTTTGTTTTTTTTAAGTTTTAGAGAAGAGTTGCAGAAAGTTTGCAAGGTTTGTGTGTCTACAGACGTTAAAGGTCTCTGTCCATAAACTAATCACAATGACCAACTGTCCCAGTACTGTCACAAACACCTAGCTATAATTGGCAGCTCACTTTTGAACGGAAGTGCTGACCTAAGGCCAGTCATGTGACCGCACCAACTATTTTTACTGCCTCCTGTTTTTGGAGACTTTGGGGAATATAATTAATCCCTGGAAATGTTCACATTTTTAAACCTCGATGCTAATTTTATTTCATTTATAATCTCATCAGTTAAGAGTGTTTATCACAAAAAAAACCTGCTCAATAAATGTACAATATTCTTATTTTCTCTCACATACAGGCTTGCAAAAGCTTAAACACAGATAATAAGATATATATCTTTCTATCTATGTTGTCACTGCATTTTCTCCACAAGTTACCACAAAATGTTGCCAGCTCGGCTTGGAAACGATTTCAGATGCTCCAAAGAAGGCGCATGTTTGGAAGTTCTGCAGGTCCTGTTGGATGCAGAGAAGAGGCCTGTCCGAGACTTGTCCTCGGTCACTCTGATTAACAAAAGGGGAGCAACATATTCAGTGATGCCCCGCCGCAGGCCTCTCTATAGGCACAACGTAGAAAAATCCACAAAGAAAGCCGAGGCCAAGGGGGACCAGTGAGGGCGCACACAGAAGGTACACGTATAGAGAGTGAGTCAGGTCACAGGGTTGTAGAGGTCGGCCATCCAGACTGAAATGAGCCTAATGGGACAGAAAATGTGTCCTCGAGGTGAACTCGGCCTTCTCTCACTTCGCCCCCAAACTTCAATAAAGTACCTTTTCAGCCTCGCGACATGGAGGCGACAGGGCCTAGAAAGGGATTGGAGGGATGCTGCGACTGTGGCGAGCACATTAATTTCTCTAATCTGTCCAGCAACATAAAGGCTTCTGGATTCATTTTTCAGCGCCGTCTCACCACTATTCTAGTGCCTTTCCAAAGCCAAAAGGCAGACTTTTAACCGCCTAGGTCCAGTTAAAATTAGTTATTTTAAAGTCCATTTAAACTCTCACATTTGGGGAATAATGGTAAAGGATACGGCCTAGTACATGATATTTGGTAGGAGCAAAACTGGCTGTTGTCAGAGCTGTTTTCCAGAACATAACACAAAGCTGTGTAGTAGAAAGATTGATGACGGAGAATACCTCTTCCTTTTGTGCTCTTTTGCCCCCCACTACGCCAGGCATTTTATAAGGCCTATTCATGTCACCATTTCAATAATCTATCAAATTCTTGCGCGTCTTTAGGTTTAAGTCATGGTTAAACTGAAATCCTTCTGCACAGATCTGTCCAAAAAAAAAAAAAAAACTAGGGGAAAAAAATGAATGCATCTTTGTGAGGGGAAAAAAATCTTAAGACAGTTCAGTTTGAATGATATTTCGTCAAATTGTTGTATCAGTCCAGCAGATCTACAGTCGTAAACAGTCCTGCAGTGTGTTGCTGTTGCAGATGAACGCGGGCGATGACGTTGCAGTGAGCGCCTGTTTTTGAAATGGTAGTTTTTCTTTTTTTTTTTTTTTATTCCTCGCGAGCTGCTGCACACCTCCTGGAGGCGACTCTGTCTCTGGGGGAGACTGACAGCAGGTAAATGTGGGAAAGTGTTCATGGGAAAGCAAAAAAAAAATCTAAAAGTGAACACACAAGAATATATCAGCAATCTTTTCTTGCTCCAGGACACTGCTGCAGAGCCTGATAACAAAGGTCAGCTAGTTTACCCATCACCATCCTCCATGGGATATTTAACGAACACCACATGACGCAGTATATTGAATCTAACTGCAATTCACTCTTTATTTAATTTTTTTTATTTGTTTTTTTTGTATTTTTTTTT